TTGTTGTTGCAGCTGTTATTTTGTCTTTCTATAGCCGTTTTTGACTTAAAGATCTCAAAGATATCAAAGGACTTTATATCTTTAATTAAGTCTCACAAATCCCTGATGAAATCAGTCCATGTCTTCCCATTTTAAAGATGGGGATGGTAGGGGGCAAAGGAAGGAAGAGACTCTGTCATGCTAAGCTGTATCTGGAGCTCCTTTCCCCTCATTAATACTGACACTCACAATCCCAGCCTCTAAACACACATTTTTCACCCTAGACATAGAAGGAAGAGCCTCTGAGTGTCCCTATAAACCTGCTCTTTTACTGCAGCTCCAGAGTGCAGCTCCAGCTCTTGACCAAGATATCTAGGTTGATTCCAGCCTGCAGCGTGAAAGGAGAGGCCACTTCTCCCACTTTCAAAATATATAAATAACAAAAGGAGCCAAAAAGAAAAAAAATACAACACTTTTTGAGAGCCAGTTGGTGTTTCTGTTCTACATTCTCTTTTTCCAATATTGCAGCATTGTTGCCAAAGCTCATTTCTAGCTGGTTTGCTACAATACACAACTATAGGCGTGGAAAAAGAAGAAAAAAAAGAGAAGAGAAACACAGAAACAGGTTCTGACATCTAATCAGATCTGCTGTATTGATTTTGCAACTTTAGGTTTAAAACAAATCAACAAAACAGCCACATTATCACCCAGAATTTGATCTCCCTTGGGTGAGCTGGTTCAAAAGGAGCTCACATACACACACTCCAGCACTCACACATGCATGCACACGCACACACATACAGACTGACAGACACCTCCCCTCCCCGACGTGATAGAAGGAACAGGCTTGGGGGGGGAGCTCTCTTATCACAGAGGCTTCAGAAGCCACACGATTCCCATTTCCAACAAGATTAGAATTCCAGAGCAAGCTACAAAACTAATGAGCAGCCCGTACTAGAGAGCAGCATTTCAATTAACCAAAGCAACCCCCTGCTGGAGGGCCCAGCACCGAAGAGGGGGATGGAGAAACGGACATTATGTTGGTTTCATAAGGGGGGTAGGTTGCGGCGGGGGAGCCAGAATTGCCCCTTGGCCTTGCTCCACTTTCCGAGAGGCTGGGTTCTTAGTCAGTTCAATGGTAGTGAAAGGAGACAGAAGGAGACGCCCCAGAGAGGGGCATGGAATAGACTAAGAAACCAACCTCGCAGAAAATGGAGCAAGGCCAAGGGGCAATTCTGGCTTCCCCCTCCTACCCCGCTTCACTAAACCAACATACGGTTTACTTCTCCATTTCCTTCTCCAGCAGGGAGCTGGAAGGCGCTGGGCACTCCAGCAGGGGGTCGCTTCTGTTTCTTAGTCAATTCCATGGTGGTTAAAGAAGACAGATGGAGAAGCCCCAGAGAGGAAAGGCTTCAGCTTATGCACTGAACAGGGACGGGCCAGCTGCCTCCACGCCAATCTCCAGGTGTCACTTCAGTCCCAGGAGCCCATTCAGGACTTGGACTCTCTACTGAGCTTGCAGCATGATGGGAAAAGGATGGGGGGGACAGCTTAGGGGATTGCATATAGATCACACTGACTTTGGGTACATTATTGGGGCAGGACCAGAATCCATTCAATATTGCTTGTCTTTAGATGGAGCTGTTGAGGAGGCAAAACAGCAGCAGAAGGTGTGCAGGATGATACTGGTCTGGTATTATCTGCACCTCCACCCACTCCATGGCTTCCTCAAAGACCACCTGCTATGGTCACAGGCCCCCAGCCAGACCCTCCCTGGGGTAAAGACACATGCCCCCCTCAAACCAAGATACAGGGCTGCACCTTTGCAAGTCATCGTGAACCACCCCAGAAAGCCTCACTGTAGCTTAGAGACTGCCATCCTGCTTGCTCTGTCAGGGGTGATGACAGAGTTTACTAGGGATCATCCAGCCTTTGCAAAGCCTGGGGACTGTTTATTTTAAGACAACAGCATTACCAAGAAAACACATCAGAAAACAATAAGCAGCCCACACATATGCTAGGTTCACCAGCTATTGCCAGAGGTCCACATGGTAGCCTGGCAGGTACCCAAGTTAGTCAGTTCTTTGTTCCAGAACGAGATCTATGTTGCAGTCTCATATCAGTTTTTGGTCAAATGAGAGTGACACCCTCCCCCAGCTCAGCTTGGTCACCTTCTATCATAGGTGTCAAAGATACGACCTGTGGGGCTCCTCGAGAGGCTGAGAATTCTGGGTGTGAGTCTGGATTCAGCTCAAGAGGCCAAACAAGTTTAACATCCCTTATTTGCATATCTTTGGGAGGCTCTTTCTTCTACTTCAAACCAGATTATGCAACTTCTCCCAGGGTAGATGGGACTTCTCCAGACTTGTTTACCTACTTGAAAATTTAGATGAATTCTCTCCCATTCCTCAATTTCATTGCTGTGATGTCCCTTTGCCCCACAGAGAGTCATATAACAGTCCATAAAGCTGACATAATATTCTTGGAATAGGCGAAGTGCCCATAGTGCCTGGGAATTTTTTTTTTCTGCAACTGTCTAGCTGGTCTAATAAAAGATATCACCTCTGGCTGCATAGTGCCTGGCACTATATGTCACACTGAAGTCTGATCAGTTTTGTCCAGTTTACCAGATTAAGCATCACACCTTCTAAGCGGAGCTAGAGGGGGAGGTGGGGGAAAGCATAGCTAGTGTCTAATGAACTACTCAATCCAGTGCATGTAGTTTCATTAGTCAGGGGCTGGGGGTGGTGCAGGCTAGTGCAAATCAGCATCCTTGCTACCAATTCCACTCCCCACACTTCCAGATCAGTGGTAGGGAGTTACATTAAACCTTGGTCAGATTGGCATGGTTTGTGGGGGGTTGGTCTTCCTCTGTAGCAGGGAGCATGGTCCTCTTTCTTGGACTTCTTTAACAATTACTTCCTGTCCTTGCTATAACAGGATATTGATCGTGCCCTCGTCCCTCTGCTTCACCTGTGACAAGTTAGAGTGGCTTTTGGTGATTCAGGCAGTGTGCCTCCTAGCTGTATGAGAGGGTAGTTCAAAGTTTTTCAGATGAAATTAGACAAACCCTTGTCTAGGATGGTTTACACAAGGGTGATTCTCCTTTAAGCAGAGGCTTGGATTAGATGACCTCCTGGAGTCCCTTTCTGCCCTACTTTTCTATGATTCTACATGTTCACAGGAGGTCACTACTGAAGCTATCCTGATGGGATTAGCCTTGGGAGGGGAGCTACAAGGATGCCCTCAGGCCTTGCCACAACAATTAATATCATTCAAAGGGCTTCAGTTTCCATCCAGGAGGTGAAATAACCAAGCCACCTTTGCCCCGTGTGCTTTCAAGGCTTTCCTTATCTACGCTGTCTCCAGTCTACTATTCAGCAGGGTTCTTAAGGGGAAGGCACAGATCACTCTGTACTCCTGGCTGTCCCATACATCTATCAAAACATGACCAACATCTGTAAAACTATTCCATTCTCCTCTTGTACCAGTCACATGATGGATAATAGCCTGCTACTGCTATCAGATACTCTGTCAGTTCAACTGGCAGAAGTCTGATCCAGTTCAAATCTGGCTGATGAATCATGAGGGTGTCAATATGGTGCCACACAATGAAATTTTGGGGTAGGAGGATTAGTTTGCACTGTAAAAAAGCCTACAAAATTACAAACACAACTATGCTAAAACAATATTATTAATATTGCACAATCATAAACTCCGAGTGAGAAAATGCCAGAATAAAGTTTGCCTGGGCAGTATTAATCCAATACCCATGTGCATTAGGAAACAGCCTTTAATTACAAGATCCACATCCTATTTTCCACAGGACCCCTACCTCATTCAGTGCGCAGAATGAATAGCAATCACTTAATGAGCAGCTATTTTGTTTTCTCCTCATTGTTCAATGAATGGCCTATGCTTTTTTTTTTACTGAACACTATTCAGACTCCACTGCGGAGGCATAATTTTTAATTTCCCAGTGGTCTTTTCCATGGCAATCTTCTGAGTGCTTCGTAAACTTTAATGATTTTTCATTCACAGCATTATACATAGATATTATTATCCCCATTTTACAGGTGGAGGACCAAGGCACAGGGAAACTAAAATAAAATGTCTGCATTAATTTAGCACGTCTAGAACCTCAGTACTCTGTATTATATAGCACTTTATATATTTAAAGCACACAACCCCTGATTTCAGTTGTAGCTGTGAGTGCTTAGTATTTCTGCGCATCAGACCACTTCTCAAGTCAGGCATCTGGACAAGAAGGAACACACAATTGGTGACCACCTGTCACTAATTGCATGCCACAGACTAATAGGCAGGGACAGAATCCAGTTTTCCAGGACAACATTCAACAGCTGTAACCAAGAAACCTTCCTTTCTTTTCCTGCAGTCTCCTGCCTCCCTCACTATATACTTTCCAGCCTCTGCAACAAATGAAGCAGGATCCTTCACTACACCCTTGGTACATCCCAGGGCAGATTCACCCTGTGCACTGAATGAGACAGGTGTCCTGGAGAAGAAACAGGATGCAACTGTTAGATTAAGAAGGGCATCATCAAGGGTATGCACCAGAGGACTGAATGAGGGTTAGACAAGCAACCTTAATGTTGTCATTTGCCAATGTCTGAGTGGTTGACTTTGCAGCTTTAATAATGTGCTTTTAATGTATTTGTGCATGCGTAATGCACACGCACATATGCTGTTGCAAGAACTGAGGTGACCCAGACTGCAGAGGAGCAACAGGCAGTGTAAGCAAATAGAACAGGCTCCACCATTGCCCAGAATATATTGCTGTCTATATGACATGTCTCAATTATGCTGTCCTCATGCATGGACATGACAGGTAAAGAAGACCCTTCAGAATCACCAGAATGAAACAGAACCCCCTCAATCCAGTAAAGGATATCAATCCTGCCTGAAAGCAGTGCATATACATCACCCACCTAGGTGTTATCAAAGCCTGATGCATGCTGGCCTACTGGTACAGAGCTACAGAGTCATGCTGGGATACTCACACTGTATGTTGAGCTGTACCATGGCTTCCCGGGGTCTGATGTTAAAGCCATTGTACCTGGCTGTCTGACACTTATAGGTCCCGCTCATTTCCCGGTTCACGCTCTCCAGACGCAGTTTCCCATCATATGTCTCCTCCGTCATGGTGCCTGAGGGCATGGGAGCTTCCTTATCTACCCGGGACCAGATGATAGGTGGCTTGGGCTTCCCTCGAACCTCGCACTGCAGCTCTGCCCGGGAGCCCTCCCGCACGGTGATGGTGGACTGGCCTTTAGGGACACTGATGGTTGGAGGCACTAAAAAGAAGATAACCAAAAGGGACCATTTGTATGTCAGGTTCACATCCACACAGCCCAACATGTGGGAAATTCACTAGGCATAGACTCACAGAATCATAGAAAATGAGGGTTGGAAGGGACCTCAAGAGGCCATCTAGTCTAACCCCTGGCTCAAAGCAGGACTATCCCCAACTACATCATCCCAGCCAAGGCTTTGTCTAGCCAGGTTTTAAAAACCTCCAAGGATGGAGACTCCACAGTCTCTCTGGGTAACCTGTTCTAGTGTTTTACCACCCTCCTAATGAGAAAAATTTTCCTAATATCTAACCTAAACCTCCCTTGCTGCAACTTAAGACCATTGCTCCTTGTTCTGTCATCTGTCACCCCTGAGAACAACCCAGCTCCATCCGCTTTGGAACCCCACTTCAGGTAGTTGAAAGCTGCAATTAAATCCCCCCTCAGTCTTCTCTTCTCCAGACTAAATAGACAGTCTCTTCTTATGGTTATGTTTGAGGGTGAAAGTGTCATGCTGGCAACCCAAGAGACTGAAACCTTCTGCTCAATGATAGTATTGGCTAGAGTGGGGTCGCCAAACACACTTCCCCTGCTAATGTAAGTTCCATAGGAACATGGGACTGGAAAGGGACCAGTCCCACTCATTGTCCCATCTGGCAACCATTTGCTCCATCACAGCCACAGTAAAACCTAGAACCCCTCTATCTACAGTGTGCCACAGGTGAAGAGCAGTCCAGAGAGAACAAGGACACTGCCAATGCTGCAGGTACTGCAATGGCAGGAAATTCAGCTGGCCCTGGTGCTTCCAGACATTTGGTCTCTGCAGCTTCTAGATTGGGTGAAACAACACCAATATGGATTGCCAGCTCCCCTCACAGATGCCACTGAACTGCTACCAAACAAGAGGGACACTGAGTCACTCTCCACCTAAAATGCCATTAGAATTAAAGAACCAGAGGCAAAATCATCCCTCTCAATATGTTAGTCATTTAATTCCCCGGCTGGAACTGTAGCTTACAGCCCAGAGGTGAGATGCCAAAAGCAGCAGGGCATCGAGTCTCCTTCCCAAAGCTGGATAGGATAATAGGGATAATGCTTCATATACCTCACTCCTAGTCTCCATTCACATCCTTGCCAGTTTCTAAAACATGGATGCAAAACAGATCAGCTCACTTATTCTCTGCTAGAGTTCATTGTGCATCAGCTACTAATGGTAACTCTCAGCTGAGCCCAGTGGTCAGTGCAGTCCCTACCCACTCATGCAGGGAACAACTCACTGAGCAGAGCTAGGTGCTCAGTTACTGAATTACAGTAATGTCTTCAGCAAATGCAGCTCCGGGACAGGGAACGCAGTAGCTCCAGCCACCAGCTGTCCAACAAAACTTTCCTGACAGAGACAGGCCACAGGGAGTCTAAGGTCTCTAATTGAGATGAACAGGGGGCAGGTCTATGTGGAGGAAGCTCTTAGCCCAAGCCTCATGAATAACCATAAAACTCCACCAACCATGCATCATGAAGTAGATGGAAATCGCTACTAAAGCCATCATAGTGTTGACACTTCACTTGTCTTTGCTGGACTTCAGAGTTAACAGTCTATTGAGACAAATGGGCACTTCTCCCAGCTCCAAGAGTTTATGTGGCAGGCTCCATCTCTGCAGACAGCACTGCACTGGGACAAGGTTGGGACTGAAAGCTTCACAAATGCAAGGGCCACATATCTTTTTCTTTTAAAGTGAAAGTTCAGCATTTTGGGGGCCATACAGATCTCTAATGGCCAGTGTAAGCTCAACTAAAGCCCAACTCATGAGAAAGAGAGTGTTGTGGTGACTGCACGGAAATTTCAGCACATAGCTATATTTAAGAGCATATTTTAAATGCTTCTGGTCTCAGTCTCCCTCAGTAGTGACCTCACTATGCAACTGGGAGGTTGAGTTTTCAATTTGCAGGTCTCCTGTGGGCTGTGGAATCTCATCACATCCTCTCTGGCACAGTGCGAAAGGAGCTGTGTGCTCTCGCCACTCAGTGCTGCCAGCAGGAGCTCACCGGGCGAGAGGCAATTTTCTCCATGGGGAAAAACTGTAAATTGTCTTTGCAGATATTTTAATTAAAGGCATTTCATCTGAGACTCCCAGGGAAGGCAGCCATCTTGGGGGATGTGGGTCCTGCTGTTCAGTCAGGGAAATGGCCAGGGAACACAGAATGGTTGCCATCACATGACTCTGGGGAAAGACTCTGCAGATGGATCCAGCCTGCAAAGATATGTGACCCAGCCTGCAAAGGTCTGATCCAACCCATGGCAGTGATCAGCAGCAGGAGTAGGAGTGGGAAACATGGCAAATCCCCAGGGAGTCTGCACTGTCCTACTGCTTCTCTTCCCACCAAATCCACCATCATCTGCTGCAGTTTGCAATAATGATTGGCAGCACTCAGATGGGGATGAGCAGAGGCTGCAGCAAGGGGGGTTTGAGAGTGCCTGTTGTGTGAGAAACACTGGCCCAAGGCCACGCTTGGTAGCATGCAGCAGCAGGTGAATAGCAAGGGAAGTGGCCAGGTTGCAAGTGGTAGCCTGCTTTAGGATGGAGCCACATGATTTCATCTCGCCCTTTGTAAATAGCTGCCAACCTTTGCTTGAAGGGCTCACAGCAAACAGAAAGAAGCATTCTTATGTTTCCTTAAAGGTTAGCAGAGAACCAAAGACACCAGTGTTGGCTCTGCGGGGGTAGGGAAGTTCATCCCAAGGGAGTGCTGATGATATTGTTGAACAAATGCTCTAAAATGCCACCTTTTTCCATTGCCCTGTCATGGTTTCTTCCCAGCCAGCATCACCCATATTGTGGACTGTGCCAGCACCTTATGCTTACCACTAGCAGAAAGGAAGTAGTGACAACTTTGTCCTATCACAGCTACCTCCTAGTGGGTGTTTCCCCAATAAGTTCCCAATATGTGTGCCCACAGGTCCTGTCATGCCTTGATTTGGGAGGGAAGGGGTGTACCATCTATGGCTATATAGGGCTTTTCTACCCCTTATGATCTTATATATGACTGCTTTCTACTACCTACTGTTTTCTGAAAAAGAAAGAGGGCCATGGCCTCTGAGGATAAGGAGAGCTGGATCTGTCCCCAGCTCTGCCATTGACTCGCTAGTAGGCTTTGAGCCAATTATTTCATGTTTTATTCCTCAGGTCCCCTGGTGGCCATCACAGAGGACAGTCCGGTTGTCCTCTGTCCTCTGTTGATACAAAACCAGATGCCTTTATGTCCTCTGTTTTTCTCTTGAAGAGAAAAATAGAGGACTTACAGGCATTGGGTTTCGTATCAATAGAGGACAGAGTAGAGCAAACCAGAATATCCTCTATGATGGCCATCCTATGTACAACAGGTTTGATATTATTCCCCTGCCTTCCAGGGCAGCTGGACATGTGAATTAGTTAATCTCATTAACTAATGCTGAAAAGCCCTGACCAAGGGAAATCCTCAGGGTCCACATTGTTCAACAGCATTGGGGAATTTCTTTCCAAGTTAGATTGCTAGGGATTTTTTGTAGAGAATCAGAGGTTTTCAAAATATCAGAAGGCAGTTCCAGCACTTCCTGCTAAGAGTATAAACAGGGTAAGGAGCTACTTAGTTCATGGACAGGACCGGGAAGAGTCAAACATGGTAAGGATTTCAGAAATTCCTTGTAGTCATTTAGAACATCAAGACATATTCTACTGCCTGCTGATTTTCCTCATACTCACTTACCATTTAGTTCCTAGCCTAGAACCCAGCCACACCAGTGTGATCCCCAGTGGAGACACTGGGACTGCACTGATGCAATGGAGAGCAGAATGTGACCCAACAGCTTGCTAGAAGAACAAGAGAAGACCTGATCCTCTGTGCTCTGTGTCACACTACAGAAGCGACTGACACATTTAGGGCTTGATCCAGCCCCCACTGAAAACCAACAGGAGAGTTTTGGCATTTCCCTTAAGGAATGGAAAAGAGAATGAGAGTTGTTACATCTGGGTGCCTGCAGGAAGTATTGAAGAGGCACTCTTCAGACTGTGTTTAGCACAATAAGCATTCACAGAATGAAGCACTATATGAAACACAGGTCCCTCCATGCACTGTCATGGTTGCAGACTGGGTCACTCCATCTCAAACTTGGGCAAAGACTAAGGTTCTCTTATAAGCAAAGGCCAAGAAGTGGGATCCCCTCACCTACCATGACCTTTGACAATTTGATAAAGTCTCACTCCCTTGTCTGCCTTCCTGATAAACCCTTGGCCAGGGGCTTCTTTAATCCTCAGGTAATATAAGTTGGCTTGGGCTGGGCTTCAGTTGGGTGTTTCCAAATGCACACTTGTCCATTCCTAGGTAGAAACATGGACAGGGGATCTTCTTGGGATATTACAAATCACACAGCACAGACATAACTAGCAATCCTGTGCCACTACTAAACCCCATGATATTTTCTTGAATTCAGTGTCCATCTGAGAGCCTTCAAAAGCCCAGAGGAGACAAATTGTTTTTGTGATGCTGATACACATCATGCCCCATGCCTGATTCCCTCACAGCCACAGGCCTCCATGGAAGAGGCTCACCTGTTTCTGAAGAGATGTTCACTTCAACGCTGAGGTCAGGAATGGGTGCACCCTGGAAGGACGCCACACACAAATATGTACCATAGTCACTAAAGCGCAAGTCTATGATCTCCATGCTGCTAGTCACTGGTGGGAGCTCAGGATCATTCCTGGTGATGAGCAGTCGGTCTGACATCCTGGCTGGCTTTCCATTCTTGTACCAGAAGTAGAAAACCTTCTCCTGGGGGACTGCATCCACATGGCAGGAAAGCTTCAGGTCCTGCCCTAGCTGGATGCTCTCACTCTCTTTGATCACATCAGGTGTGATCTGGAACGTGACATTCTTCATGGCTGGGGTCAATACAAGTGCAAAGCCAGTTAGTGAAGGCAAACAGGGCCCATTCTCAAAGGAATACACATGTGGGACAGCTACTCCTTGCCCCCAGACAAGCAATGGCCCCACACACTCCAGATCAAGAGATCCCCCAACCCTTTGCCCAAATGGGATCCCCTGGGAGGTAACAGCCCCCAGTCTTCAAGGCCTGATTGGCACTGCATGTCACAATCAGAGGGCACCAACAGATCTGTGGGAAGCCAAAGGCTGGAATAGCAGCATATGCTGAAAGTCAGGAGTGATGTGTATTAGCAAAGCTGTAGGTGGGGCAACAAGTATAGTACCTCCATACCAACCCTTTGCTGAGATATCACATTAAACCCCACATATAACTGAATACAAGTAAGAGGACTGGGAACCCTGTCTCCCTTCCCTGAAAGTGCATGCTATGAAAGGACGTACATCGCACCAGCAGGTTCACTGTCTTCTTGGCTGGGTTTCCCACGTTGTTGATGGCTGTGCAATTATAATAACCTGAATCTTCCACGTGGATCCTCCAGATGGTGAGATTGCCTCCTTGAACAAGGCTGTTTTGAGGCATAGGACTGGGTGAGTGAGACCAGACCACCTCAGGCAGTGGGTCACCACCAGTGAGGGAGCACTGTATAGTTATGTTATCTCCAGGGTTCACCACCAGGGTCTCATTGACTGATAGCTTCAGAGCTGGTGGGGCTGGAAGAGAGAAGTGGAAACACTAATGAGCTTTGAAGAGAAGTATACTGTGCCTGAGTTTCATCCAATGATTTATACAAACTGAAAGATTCTCAGTTTATTCTGGGCAAAAGAAGGCCAGTCGGAGTGAGTTTGGAATGCCCAGGAGGTTGTTAATATTGCCCAGTGTCTGTCTGAGAGGTCAGCCACTCCATTAACCTCTAACCAAGTCAGAGGATCTTGTTATCATATGACTAAGAAGTGTAGTGTAGACAGGACTTCAAAGAGACCCAAAACTGAAAGTCCAAAGGCCCTGAACAGTACAAAGCTTCAGCCAAGCTACATGGTCAGTTAGGTCCCATTGACATAACACATTTTAAGAACATTTAAGCCAGGTCCTTTCACTGTCATGGTTCTAGGGCTCAAATCTCCCATCATTGAAACAGCACTTTGTACCCATTTTGCACAGCTACAAATGGCAAAATATGGTGAGAGACAGGGGAAAATCAAAACATAAGGTTTGTTGGTTCCAGCTGCTCTGGTCCCAGAAACTCTAGCCGCAATCCAGCAAAGTGACAGAGAAATGGAGAGCTTAGGGGGTGCACACAGTTTATTCTCACAGTAACTTTATTAAACTGCTCTGCACACAGACCAGCTTCTTTTGCTCACTCTTAAGCAGTCTCCTCTGCCTTTAATCAAGACCTGTGTACATAAAGATGGAGTAAGAACTCAGCTGGTTGCACTGTGGCTCCCTGTTTGGGCCTTTGCTGAAACGTGGTTGCATGAATCACACCAGATGTTCCCATCCTTCTACAGAAACAGCACACTGGGGACTGAGGTGAGGAAAGAAAGATATGAAAGCAAGAGATTCAGTGAAATAGGTCATATTAAGTTGCAGCCAACTCATCAGTGATTCATGGCCTGATCCAAGGTTCCTTGAAGTCAACAGAAAACCTGGTGCTTACAATAGTTAAGTGGAGAATTTAGACAATTACTCCCATGGTGGTTCCTCTATGACTATGCAACCCAAAGTCTATCTCAAATGGAAGAAATTATACAACAGTTACCCTTCACACTGACCCAGGCACTCCACACTCATGACATTAGTGGGACTCACAGATTGGAATGACAGACACATTCATGCACACATTTTTACAGGGGCTTTGTCCTGAGTGCAAAAGGGGCTGGGTTTAGTTATCACAGGCTAGCTTAACCTGGACCTGCTTCAGAACTGAGCTAAAGAATTAAGCCGCACATAGACAAGTTAGGTCAAGCAGGGCTACCAAGTGTTAGCTAAGTCCAGCCAATGGGACTTGGAGTTGTTAGGGATGGTGCTGTCAGGAACAGATTTGTTAGGTGAGAGGGACAGCCTGTTTGGACCAGCAGACAAAGCCCTTCCTTGTTGATGTACAAAAAACCCCAAACAAAACAAAAAACCCCACAACTGCTCCTGGGAGACTGACCTTTTTCAAGGCATTAACTGGAACTTTGTGCACGTCAGACTTAAATGAGATAAGGAAAGCACACGCAGAGCTAAAAACCTGCCCCAGATGCCACCTTGTCTTAGCTTCTGAGAAGACAGGATGCACTCTCTTTCTCATTCCCTCCCTGCAAATGCACCACCACCAGGGCATCCACTTAATGCGCAGATTCAAAGAGCATCCCCAAGTTCAGAGGCTGCTTTGAATCCTGCCTTCATCTTCCATCTCTGCATGAGTTTGAGAAGTCTCACAAGAACAGACTCTCCGATCATGAGATTTCTGGCACCACCTGCATCTAGCCTTGTCTCAGTTTCAGGAGAAACAGCCATGCCTAGGCGTGCTGAAGGAAGGTTCATATTCCCTCTCACAGTCCCAGATGGGCTTACCAAGCTGTACTCTAAACAGCTACAGCATTTCAGAAGCTGCAGTGCCCACTGGGGAGCAGTTGGATATAGAGCTGAGTGAAGCTGCATTTAAAACAGTAGGTCTTTGGCAGGGAACAAGAGTAGGGCAAGGAGACTCCTACAAGTCAAAGAGGCACAGAGGGAGGAGAAGGAAAAGAGCCTCCCACCAGCCAAACCCCACAAAGGGAGGGAAAGGGACAAAGAGGACAACAGGCCATCCATCAATCATATGGAGAAGCAACAAATAACAGAAGACAGAGAGGGAGACTATCCTAGGAAGGAGCTGAGGAGTCATATCTTCCTTCACACTGTATCCCAACACCCTGGATCAGAAGATTATGCTCTGTTTCTCAGAGTCAGCCTGAGAGGAGAGCACTCTGCCTGCCACCCACGTGCTATGTGCTTGCTAGCTCAGACCCCGGGTGGAAAACCAGTGCTTGTGAGTGTCAGTACTGATCCTGCAGCCCATCCAGCAACTCCTGCTG